GCTGAAAGTGCTCGAGCTATACGGGCGGATATGAGCGAGAGTTTTGGCCAAGCGAGTGCATCTCGTGCGTACGAGCTACGACATCTGATCAGCATCCCACAACAAGAAAAGAACTCAATATTGGCCTTTTATACTAAGCTCATAGCACTTTGGGAAGAAGCATCGGCCATCTCGCTGATTCTGCGCAATACTTGCAGGCAGTGCGCTTGTGACGTATTGCGCAAGGTACGGGAGCAGCAAGAGAACTCCAGGATTTTGATTTCCTTCTGGGACTGGACGAACTTTTTCCGCAGTCCATACTCAAGTGTTAGCCATGAAGCCGACACCATCATTGCCCAAAGCTTTTAACATCGTTATTAATGAGGAGCATCAGAAGCTAATCTCGCAACAACGATGACCTAAACCTGAGGCGGCAACCTTCGTAACACGTGGGGAGAATGAAAGAGGTACCCGAAGAACGTGGGAGCGAGAAAAGTTGCGGTGCACACATTGTCAAAAGGTGGGGCACACACGTGAGATGTGTTATGAGTTGATCGACTACCCACCTCGTGATCAGGATCGACAAGGTAACAAGCAGCCAAAGCGTCGTGGGAGCAAGAATGAAGGGAAATGGTGTGATCCTAAGGCCTCGCAAGCAGAGGTAGACCAAAGTCTTGTAGCTGGATTTACACTGCAACAGTTGGAACAACTCAAGAAATTCTTTGCGGGTCACAACCGACTGGGGAAGATCCTGTTGCGAATATAGCAGGTGTGATTTCTGAAACCTCTTAATGGTTGATTGACTCCGGATGCACTGAGCACATTACTATGGATGATTCATTATTATCAAGAAATAAGTGAACATTGATGGGCAGCCGGTTCGCATACCAAATGGGGCGAGCATCCCTGTTAAACATATTGGGTCTATTACTCTGTAGTCTGGGTTGAAACTTGGCCGAGTATTACATGTTCCCGAGTTCCGGTGAAATCTGGTTTCTGTGAGTCAATTAGTGAAGGATAACAACGTCACATTAATCTTTCTCGATGGTTTCTGCGTTATCGAGGACTTACACTCCAAGAAGTTGATTGGGAAGGGTGAGCTCTAGGACGACTTGTATTATCTCTGACTGTTTGGGAATGGAAGGATGAAAGCTTGTGCAGTCTGTGGAAACAAATCCATCTCTGAATCGACCTGGCATGCTCGACTGGGACACCCCTTGTTGGAGAAAATGCAGCAGCTTGGTCGCATCCTATCTGTTGTTTTTCATATTAATAACGACCTTCCCCATTCTTGTTCAAGGGCAAAGCAAACTCGTTTACCGTTTTTGTGTAGTTCGATGAAAACAAAATCGGTGTTTAAACTTAATAATGTTGATATATGGGATCCCTATCAACAAGCTTCACTTACTGGTGCACATTATTTCCTCACTATCGTTGATGATTTTAGCCATGGTGTTTGGGTATATTTGATGCGTTATAAATCCGAGGTTGGCACTTACATTAAGCTTTTCTGCAACATGGTTCGGAAACAGTTTGGTAAGCCGGTAAATGCATACAAGGGGACAATGGTCGAGTTTAATACTGAGGTGTTGTAGGAGTATTATAAAACTGAAGGAATTTTGCGTTAGACTCCGTGCACCGACACACCACAAAAAATGGTGTGGTAGAGAGGAAACATCGACACATTATGGATACTACGAGAGCTCTGCTGTGTCAAGCAAGCTTGCCCATTCGTTTTTTGGGTGAATGTGTACTCACAGCGGTTTATCTCATAAATAGGTTGCCAACGACAGCCACTGGTAAAACTCCCTTTGAGCTGATTTTTTTATAAACCTGCAAATTATAAGTCCTTGCGTGTGTTTGGGTGTATCACTTTCTACAAGGACACTCATGGACATCTAGATAAGTTTGCTGCACGTGGGCGTAGTGGAGTATTCCTTGGATATGCAGCAAGTCAGAACGGCTATCGTATTTACAATCTCACAAATCAGAGAGTCGGCACCTCTCGTGATGTGATCCTTCATGAGAATACCCTCCAATTCCAGTCCAACGTTGGGAAACAGCTGCACTGGGTGCCGCGTCCGATTTTGCAAGCGGACCGTTTGGAGGACTATGAAGAGCACGATATGGCCCATCCTCCACCGGAGATTCCCTCCTCTATTTCCTCTCCGACGTCACCTAGGGTCGAAGCTAATTCTTCTCCGTCGTCATCGAGCTCGTCTCCTACACAAGATCACACTTCCTCGCATCAACATACATATGTGGTGCTTGGTGGAGCATCTCCGCTAGCTGAACAAGACCCAGCATCTGCGGCTGCACCTCGCAAGAGTGATCGAACTAGGTTTCGGTCAAAACACCTGGCGATCTATGATACGTCGACTTCCGTTCGAGGAGCCCGCACCTCTAGTAAACAGGGAAGCACCTCTCTTCATTCTCACTACCTATTAGCGTCTTATGTTCACTATGATAATTTTACACCCTCGTATTGTGCTTTCCTTGCTGCAGTCACAAATAGTGACGAGCCAACGTCATTCCAGCAGGCCATGCGTGACCCCCAGTGGCGAGATGCGATGACCCGTGAAGTGGTTGCCTTGGTGGAAAATGGGACTTGGACCCTAGTTGGGCTCCCTCCTGGCAAACGGACTATAGGGACTAAATGGGTCTTCAAAATTAAGTTCTTTCCTGATGGAACGATCGAGAATACAAGGCTCGTCTTGTAACCAAGAGCTACACGCAGATAGAAGGGCTGGATTTTCACAACACGTTTGCTCCAGTACCGAAATTAGTGATTGTCCGCTGTTTGATTGTTGTTGCAGTTAGTCGTGGATGGCACCTTCACCAGTTAGATGTTAATAATGCATTCTTGCATGGAGATATTGATGAGGAACTATACATGGAGATTCCTCAAGGTTTTCGAGCTCCGGGAGACACTAGAGTGTGTCGACTGCACAAGTCCATCTATGGTCTGAAGCAGGCTTCTCGTAATTGGTACCAGAAATTTACGGCTGCTTTGTGTATGGCTTCCGCGCTTCACCTACAGACCATTCTTTATTTATCTACCAGCGGGGGAGCACATTTGTGGTTGCTCTCATTTACGTAGATGACGTGATACTAGATGGCAATGACCTACCCTTCATCACTAGTGTCGAACAGTTTCTGAATGAAACATTCAGCATCAAGGACCTTGGCCCGTTGCGCTACTTCTTAGGGATTGAAGTGGCACACACAACTGATGGGGTTGCACTCAGCCAAAGAAAGTATGTCCTGGACATACTAGAGGATGCTGGTATGTAAGGGTCTCGGCCGAGCTCGTTTCCCATTGAACAAAACCATCAATTGATTCGTCCTACTGACGTCGTGCTCGCAGATCCTTTTTCCTACCGTCGGCTCGTTGGTCGTCTTCTTTATCTGACCATCACACGACCGGACTTCACCTATGCGGTGAACATCCTCAGTCAGTTTGTTCATGCGCCTAGCCCTATGCATATGGATGCAGCTTATCACGTTCTCCGCTATCTCAAAGCCTCACCAGGCCAAGGTTTGTTTTTTCCTTCAAATAGTCCTCTTCGATTAACGGCTTATTGTGATGCAGATTGGGGTGGTTGCCAGAGTACTCGCTGGTCTAGTACTACCTATTTTATCAGTCTCGGAGGCGCCCCAGTATCCTGGCGCACTAAGAAGCAACGTGGTGTTGCTAGGTCTTCCGCTGAAGCTGGATATCGTGTGATGGCAAGCACGGATAGTGAAGTAATCTGGCTGCGGTGGCTAGTACGTGAGCTGGGCCTTCACCACACGGCAGCGACACCACTACATTGTGACAACCAGGCGAAATTACACATCACCAACAACCTAGTTTTCCATGAGCGCACCAAACAGGTGGAGATGGACTGCTATTTCGTCTTTGAACGAGTTCAGTCTAGTGAAATACTCCCTGTCAAGGTGCACACCGAATTACAGCTCGCTGATATCCTTACGAAAGGTCTTGGGGGTGATCGTTTTCTTTTCCTTCTGTCCAAGCTCAACTTTCGCGATCTGCATTGTTCAGCTTGCGGGGGAGTATTGGGTCGAGAGACACGCTCGGTGACTGATCGGCCCACAGTTGTTGTCCAGCCCGAGTCGCGTGTTGTTTGGGTTCCTGGTCCTATGCAGTTTCGGAGAAATACTTCTCCTAATCATACCCTAGTTACATTTGATGATGGTATAAATAATCTTGTATCTTGGTCAATGGCCGAACAGTTGATTGACAATAATCAATAAGAAAAAAGCTGAGAATACCACGGTAAATATCGTGTGTGTTTACTTGTGCTTCTTTACTACTTATCTTTTTTTTTTGGGCAAATACAATATATTATCCATAACTATTAAGCAGCGGGGAATTATAGCCACAACTATCGAAATACAAATTATTAGCCAATCGTTAAGTTTTCGTTAACACTTCTGTTAGTAATGATGACTAGGCTTTTACGATGGTGAGTTGGCTCCCACGTGGCAGTCATCATATCATATTTTTTACGATGCTGACATGGCCTTCTACGTTAAAAATTTGAAAACAGTAACGAGCTGTTAGCCAAATATTGACCCACAACAATAGTTATGGCTAATAATTTGTATTTCGATAGTTGGGGCTATAATTCCCCGCTACTTAATAGTTATGGATAATATATTGTATTTACCCTTTTTTTTATAACGGCTTCTTTACTACTTATCAGTTAAAGACCTTGTAATTCTGTCCACAACATTTCACTTCTTATGTGATAATATATCACTTATTGGCCCGTTAAAAAAAAAGACAATAATTGTTTATCTACACTCCCGCATTAAGTTTCGGTAGTCAACTATTCTAAATCGTCAATAATAATAATACCATAATAGTTGTTTACAATAAATTTCACATAACATTTGAGCTTCCATAGAATTAAAGAAGCTCCCCTGTTCCGTCCTAATAAATCCTAATATGTGTATACTCTGCTTTCTCCGTTGAACAGAAGAAACAGACTTTCTCTCCAATAAAAACCACACATTTACAAAACATAATTATACACCACCTGATATTCCATATAAAAATTAAAACACTCCCAACACTGATCGGTTTCCCCAGTTCCTCCGGCCGCCGTAGAAAGCTGCAGAGTAACCGGGCGCGGGGGCCGAATCGAAGTTAAGCAACGAAGACACAGAAGGACGGCGGCGGTGGCTGTGGAGATCCCTGTCGTAATCGTCGCGCTGATCGGGATCCGACAACGTGGAGTATGCGGAATGGATTTTCTTGAACTGGTCGGCCGACATCTCCCTCCGGCTCACGGACACCACATCTGGGTGGCACCTTCTCGCTAGCCGGCAGTACGCTGCCTTTATCTCCCCGCCGCTCGCGCTCGTCGGGATTCCCAGCACTTCGTATAGCAATGAGGACCCAGCAGCAGCAGATGCCATTGCTTTGCCTTGTTTTTCTTCTGTTTCTGCCTCCAGTTATCTCTCCTGTTGTCTTTGGGTTGGGTGCGTCAGGGACTCAGGGTTATAGCTAGGAAAAGCTTTATATAGACTCCACATGGTGGTGAAATTAAAGGGGACTTTTGGAGGGTACATATTTGTTTACCACTAAAAACTCACTCAATACCACATTGATTATTTTCAAGGAGTGGTAGTGATTTATAAGGCCAACTTAACCATATTAATTAAATTAGTTTAAGCTGGGCCTAAATGATGGTATTTTGAGCTTCATACCAGGTACCTCAACAGACACTACTTGACCCACCAAACACCCATCCGTCACGCAAGGGGGGTCAAGTGTCAAGCGTGTTGACACCCTTCAACATCAACCACCCAAGTCGTGGAGACCCAACCATAAGGGGGTCATCGCGAGTATCCTTTCGCCGTGTGGTGGCAAAGAGAGCCAAAATATTGGCTAAGTGTTGAGACCCACATCACAAGGGGGTCAAGCATGCCACCGCAAGGGAGGTCACACATGACATTGTCCAAGGGGGTCAAGCACAAGGGGGGTCATGCATGACACCTACCTCGCGGGTAATTACCCCTAGACAAGATGGGGCGAAGAAAGCCAAAATTTGGCTAAGTGTTGAGACCCACAGCACAAGGGGGGTCATGCATGACACCATCCAAGGGGGTCAAGCACAAGGGGAGTCATGCATGACATCATCCAAGGGGGATCTCGTACAAGGGGGTCAAGCATGACACCATCCAGGGGGGGTCATGCATGACATCTTCCCGGGGGGTCAAGCATGATACCATCCAATGTGAGTTGAGTATGACGAGACGCGAGCTAACTATGGTGGCAAAGAGAGCCAAAATTTGGCTAAGTGTTGAGACCCATAGCACAAGGGGGGTCAAGCACTATGCCATCTACCTACCTTGCACCAGGGGGTCATGCATGACACCGTCCAAGGGGGTCAAGCACAAGTGGGTCATGCATGACATCATCCCGGGGAGGGGGGGGGTCATGCATGACATCATCCCGGGGGGTCAAGCACTATGCCATCTACCTACCTTGCACCAGGGGGATCATGCATGACACCGTCCAAGGGGGTCAAGCACTAGGGTGTCAAGCATGATGTCGAGGTGAAAATTGGCTAAGTATGGAGATCCAACCGTCCAAAGGAGTCAAGCATGACACCGTCCAAGGGGGTCAAGCACCGGATACCAAACACTAGGGTGTCAAGCATGATGCCACCCCAAGGGGGTCTGATTCATCAAACCTCCAAGCACACATGACGTCATGTCAAGGTGGTTAGCACGAGTACCACCAAGCGTGAAGCCTTCACTCACCAAACAAGACACCTCCATGGCACAAGGGGTTAGCTATCAAGTGGCAAGCACGCAAGACAGTCAATGCATCAAGCAAGCTACATCAAACACCAAGCAGTGGAGCAGCGGTTACCAAGAGGCGGTTGCACGACGGTTACAAGGGATGACTATAAATAGGAGAAACGAAGACGAAACAAGGGTTCCACAACCAATCATTTGGCACACTATGTCAAACTTTTATCCTTTCTCTGCAAATTAGTCGTAGCCTTAGTTTTCGGAGCTCTCACATAACCTCCATAGGAGTAGGTGTAATTAACTTAGTTTGTCCCCAAAAAACCATCAAAAACATCAAACACCCTCGTTCGAACATTGTTCGGAGAGGAGTGAACCGTGTATTAATCGTTGTCCAAGAAGTCGAAGGTGCAATCATTGTGTTCAAACACAAGTTTTTCCTCGCCAGAAAACAATATTTTACAGATTTTAGTGACATCTTGCACAATTTCAATTTCTACCACGTATATCTCTTCAAATCGTTATTTTTTTTTGTCAAAAGATATCATATATTAATCCAATCAAAAAGATAGTTACATCCTGAAAATCAATCAGGCCCGGAAATCAAAGAAGCGACTTACAGTCGGGTACAAAGAGAGGGCTTTAAAAAAGTAATTTTTATGACTGTAATATATATTTAAATGAATTCAAATATGAAATTTTAAGTTTGAAAACTAACGTTAGGACCACTAAACCAAGTCTTTATTCGAAGCATAGCAATTTTACCAACTATATTAGTGATTAGAATGGGTGATGACTGGTGTCGAGGAAGTGTTCACAAAATCAGGTTATGAATTGAACGGTCATATATGCATGGAGAATTTTCTCAGTACCACAAGCAAATTAAAGCAGTTATATGCGGTTGACGTTAATGATTTTGATTGCAGGCTTATCCATAAGATGTAAAATGTACTGCGCTGACTCAGCAAACTGGATAAATGGATAGATATCAATCCTTACATATTTTATCTCATCCATCATTGTAGAAGAAAGAAGGGCAATGTCTATTTTTTACCCAAACCTTTTTCAGATTCTTTTATTTTAACCAAACCTATAGAAATTCTATTTATTATCCAAACGTATTATAATTTATCAAAGTCTGGGCATTCATTCTGTTACCGTTACTTATTTCGTCCACGTGAGAGGTGGGATTTTGTTTTGTTTTTTTGATAATCTTTTTATTAAAAATAGTAAATGATGGTATTATGACCGCCACGTAGGAAGTCAACTCATTATGGTCATACTTAGTCAGCATTACTAATAGAAAAGTTGACGGAGAGTTAACGTTTGGATAATTTTTAGGAATTCAATAGGTATGGTTAAAATAAAAGAATCTGAAAAAGGTTTGGGTAAAAAATAGACATTGCCCAAGAAAGAAAGACTAGAGTAGCATGGGGTCCGACTCTGATCTTCTTTCTGCTATCTATCTTTCTTCGTCGTGTAAACATAATTATTGCGGTTGCCAATATTAATAGTGTATATACTGGGTGGTAAACGATTATAATTATATCACAAAATGCAGGGAAGGGACAGATAAAGATAAATGGGTCGTTTGGAAGTTGTGAATGTTAAATCGTTGCATTGTAATGAATCACTATAATATAAATGCATGTATTGATACAATAGATGCATTTTAACAATACATTGTTTGGTTGTTGAGTTTCTACTTTATGCATTGATTTACATAAAGTTACTTTTATGGGGAAATGTCACATTTAACCTCAACTTTTAGAATAAGACAAGAACTATTGGAGATATAAATGGAAAGAAAAAGTTGACACAAATCTAAAACCAACAATCACAACAATCTCAACTTTTAGTTGAGATTGTATAATGCATCATTTTTTGTGATTGTTGGTGGGACCTACCTAAAACAATGCATGCATTGTTTAACACTTTGGCACTTCCAAACATTGTATTGTGCACAATACATATATTCGACAAACACAACTCTAACAATCCCAACTTCCAAACAATCCCAAAGTTTGAGGATATGACTATGGTGACATGTGTCACGGTAACTTGTACTTTTCGTTCGACTTAATTCTAATAGTGGTCGACCGAATATACTAATGTGGGCATCCTGATGATTTATCACGGTCGCCCTTTAAAATGTAGTGGTCGACCATTTATAGTTTAAGTTGTCATTGTTGGTCAACCACAATAAAAAATCGGTCGACCTTTTCATTGGCGTCAGAAGCAAAATGGTCGACCGTAAAAGTATATAGGTCGACCACTTGATGGCGGTCATTACCAAAATGGTCGACCATTTATAGAAAGAGGTCGACCATATAGAAGAGAAGTGTTGTAACCATTTATCCATCACCATTTGACGTAAAATGAAGATGAAGAGTGTTGGTTTTGCGGTCAACCTAATATGGTACGAGGTCGACCAAATACAGGAAAATCAACCTATGCCATGCATCTTTTTTTCTTATGTATGTCGAAGTGGGTGCCTTAAATTCAAATTCGAGCAATTGTCAAATATAGGTGGACCTGATTGAGATACAGGTCAACCGAATGGTATTCTACATGCAATAAAACATCAAATTAAACGGTGCAAATTATGCATTAGACAAGATGACAACGATAGCTACATTAGGTCGACCTCACCATCGACGTGGTCTACTTCTTGAATCACGTACAACAGCAAACGCAAAGGATCTTCTTCACAAAAGCTCTAACCTTAAAAAAACTAATTCAGAGTTTCAGTGGCGGTGAATGTGACATATATTCATATTTATAGATATTTAGGACGAGAATGGATCGAATTAAGTGGTAGATAAGTTAGGGTTACCTTTATGGTGTTGGAATCCTTATCCAATACGGATACGGTGTGCACACGGTCGGCCTCGTACTTATGCGGTCGACCTCAGTTAATCAAAATGGTCGGCCTATGAGGTATATGGGTCGACCTTTCATTCTATTCGCTTCCCAAAGAGGTCGACCATTTGCTATAAAAGGTCAACCGCGTCATTGAACCTCACAAAACTGAAACGGCAGATTAGGTCGATCTAATCCTTTATAAGGTCGACCTAAAAGTGCAGATTATGTCGACCTAATCCTATATAAGGTCGACCTAAAAGTGCAAGTTACGGTGACATGAAAGTCCAATGTTTGATTGTATATGAAACAGAAAAAGGGTAACAGACAGCGGGTCCCTCTTTGGTTCAACGGATCTATTATATCATCAACAGTGGATTTTGTTCGTTTGGCTTGCTTGCTTGCGTACGTACAACAGAGCATGGGAGGAGACACTTCACATGGAAACCGGTACGTCCTTTTTGTTACAGTGCACCAGATCAATCAGTACCATTATGAAGAATTTCGGCCGGTGTTCGTTGGATTTGAAAGCGAATATGAATATTGAGATACCTATCCATTTCTTTTTGCATCATTGTCATCACTAACATGTCAGGAACTTGTACTAGGCACATTCATTGCTACAGTCTATTTGTGAAGGATCCAGGGGGTGGCCATCCCGGGTCACGACCCAGTATTATTCTGGATCCAGAGCTAGTATAGTCCTTATGAATCATTCGATTTTAGACATTCGGCCCAATGTTATTTTTACAATAGGATTGCGAGTAACTAGAAAAATAGTTCAAATGAACATGTTT